ATTTTCTCTTGCTGATTTTAAAATTCTCTCAAAAAATAAAATAAAATTCTCTATCATTACTTTTTGCCATTTATTTACTATGTGTCTTGATGTGGACCTCCTTGGGTTGATTTTGCTGGGGACTCTCTGTGCCTCCTGGATCTGGATTCCTGTTTCCTTCCCCAGATTCAGGAAGCTTTCAGCTATTATTTCTTCAAATAAATTTTCTTCCTCCTTTTCTCTCTCTTCTTCTTCTGGGATCCCTATAATATGAATGTTATTAGGCTTGATGATATTGCTAAGTGCCCTAATGCTCTTTTCATTTTTTTTCTCTCTCTCATGTTCAGCTTAATTGCTTTCCATTACACTTTCCTTCAGGTCACTAGTCCATTCTTCTTCCTCCTCTAGTCTACTATTTATTCCATCTAGTGTATTTTAAATTTCATTTATTGAGTTCTTCATCTCTGGTTGATTCTTTTTTTTATGTTTTCTACCTCTTTGTTAAGGGTTTCCCTGAGGTCCTTCACTCTTTTCTCAAGTCCAGTGAGTATCTTTATTACCATTACTATATATTCTCCATCAGGCCTATTACTTATCTCCATTTCATTTAGGTTTTTGCTGTGATTTGGTCCTGTTCTTTCATTTGGGACATATTCCTCTGTTTCCTCATTTTGTCTGTCTGTGTCTGTTTCTACGTATTAGGAAAGTCAGCTATGTCTTCTGCTCTTGACAGTAGTGGCCTTATGAAGAAGAGGTTCTGTAGTGCCCTGCAGTGCAATATCCCCTGTTTACCAGAAACTCACTTCAGGGATGTCTCCTATGAGTGTTGCATGCACCCAGCTGTTGTGACTGAGCTGCTTTTGCCTTCAGTCCAGTTATCAGCAATGGCTCTCTTTGCCTATTTTGGGCAGGGTTTGGCCTTTGTGTTGTTAGTGGGCCAGTCTGGGGCTGCCTTGGGCTTGAGTCAGACCGCATTTGCCAGAGATGCAGTACTACTGATGGGGGAAGGGACCTGGAGTGGAGGCAAGGTAGGTAGTGAGTATTGGCAACACGCTGGTTCCTGCAGGTGGCCTGTGTGTTTATGGGAGGGGAGGATGAGGGAGAGAAATGGTGCCCTCCAGCTCTTTTGTTCCTGGAGAAATCTCTCAAAGATCCCTGCCCCTCCAGCACATGCTCTGAGATTAGTAAACAAATCTCCCTCAAACTGCTGTTCTGCTCTATCTCTGTGAGACTGCTGTGCTATCTCTTGAAGGGTTGGGACTCAGTTTCCTCCTGCCCTCCCAGCTTTCCCACTGGCCTGCTGATTTTTTAAGTTCCAAATTTTAGATTTCATTGATTTTAAGAACTTGTGAAATTTGGCCCTCAGGTTTTCAAGGCCCAATTGGTATGGGGATTCATCTTCCCAGTGTGGGTCCTCCATGACTGGTGTGGGGTCTGCTCTTCTCCCTTTTTTTCTCCGTGGCATCCCTCCCTCCTGCGGACAGTCCTGTGGGTCCATTTAGCTCCCAGTTGTGTCTCCACACTTTCTACCCTCTTTGATGTGGCCACCTTTCTACATTTAGCTGTGGAGAGTCTGTTCTGCTAGTCTTAGGGTCATCTTCTTGGTTATTTACACTGATGTGGCGGTTATCTAGTTGTATCCATGGTACAAGATGTGCTTAGGGTCCTCCTACTCTGTCATCTTCTTTGTGCTCTTTTGCAATTCTCTATGAATTTTAAAATCATCCATTTCTGCAAAAACAGTCATTAGGATTTTGATAGGGACTGCATTGAATATGTAGATTGCTTTGAGGATCATTGCCATCTTCACAATAATAAATCTAATCCACAGTAGGGTCCTCTTACTCTGTCATCTTCCTCAGAAGTCAATATGTGACTTTTCCTGTCTGGCTTCTTTCACTTAGTGTGTTTTCAAGGTCCATCCACATTGTAGTATGCATCAATACTACATTCCTTTTTATGGCCAAATAATATGCCATAATATGAATATACTACAATTTGTTCATTCATCCATTGTTTCCACCTTTGGCTACTGTGAATAATGCTGCTATGAACATTCATGTACAAACATTTGTTTGAATTTGTTTTCAATTATTTGGAGTATGTATCTAGGAATGGAATTGCTGGGTCACGTGGTAATTCTGTGTTTAACTTTTTAAGGAACGGCCAACCTGCTTTCCATAGAAGCTGCATCATTTTTTAAAATTTTTTTATTGTTATGTTAATCACCATATATTACATAATTTGTTTTGGTGTACTGTTCCATGATTCATTGTTTGTTCATAACACCCAGTGCTCCATGCAGAACGTGCCAGAAGCTGCATCATTTTACATTACCACCAGCAATGTAAAATGGTTCCAATTTCTCCAAATCCTCACAAACACTTATTTTCCATTAAAAAAAATTATAGCCATCCCAGTGGATAAAAAGTGGTACCTTATTGTAGTTTTGATTTGCATTTCTCTAATAACTAAAGGTGTTGAGCATCTTTTTCATATGTTTGCTGGCCATTTGTAGATCTTTTTCAGAGAAATATTCAAATCCTTTGCCCATTTTTAAATTGGGTTACTTGTCTTTTTGTTGAGTTTTACAGATTCTTGATATATTCTGCAAACTAGACCCTTGTCAGATGATTTGCAAATATTTTCTCCCATTCTGTAGGTTGTCTTTTCACTTTGATACTGTCTTTGGACATACAGAAGTTTATAATTTTGGTAAGTCCAACTTACCTATTTTTTCTTTCATTGCTTTTGCTTTTGGTATCATTTCTAAGAATTTATTGCTAAATCCAGAGTCATGAAATTTACTCCACCTGAGAGTTTTATGGCTATAGATCTTACATTTAGGACTTTGATCCATTTTGAGTTAATTTTTGCATGTGATGTGAGGTAGAGGTCCAAATTCATTTTTTTTTTTTTTGCATGTGAATATCCACTTGTCTTAGAACTAATTGTTGAAGAGCCTATTCACATTGAAAGGTCTTAGCACCCTTGTTGAAAATCAATTGACCGCAGATGTGTATGGGTTTATTTTTGTATTCTCAGTTCTATTTCATTGGTCTGTATGTTTATCTGTATGCTAGTACCATACTCTTAATTACTGTAACTTTGCCGTAAATTTCGAAACAGGAAGTATGAATCCTCAAACTTGTTCTTCATGATTGTTTGGTTCTTTGTGCTCTTTTGCAGTTCTCTATGAATTTTAAAATCATCCATTTCTGCAAAAACAGTCATTAGGATTTTGATAGGGACTGCATTGAATATGTAGATTGCTTTGAGGATCATTGCCATCTTCAGAATAATAAATCTAATCCACAAACACAAGATGTCTTTCCATTTATTTAGGACTTCTTTCAGAAATGTTTTGCAGTTTTCAGGGTACAAGTTTTACGCTTCCTTGGCTATTCCTATTTTATTCTTTTTGATGTTATTTTAAACGGAATTTTTTTATTTTTTAAATTAATTAATTTTTAAAATTTATTTGACAGAGAGAGACACAGTGAGAGAGGGAACACAAGCAGAGGGAGTGGGAGAGGGACAAGGAGGCTTCCCGCTGAGCAGGGAGCCCGATGTGGGGCTTGATCCCAGGATACTGAGACCATGACCTGAGCCAAAGGCAGATGCTTAATGACTGAGCCACCCAGGCACCTCTGGAATTTTTTTAAAATTACATTTTCAGATTGTTCATTGCTAGTTATAGAACTACAATCAATTGATTTGCGTGATATCTGTACCCTGCAATTATGTTGAATTCCATTTTTAGCTCTAATAATTTTTTAAATTGTTATTCTTTAGGATTTTCTATATCATGTCATCTGTGAATGTATAGTTTTACTTCTTTCTTTACAATTTTTGATGACCTCATAATTTTAATATCTGAAATTTTTGCAGGTCACATGGCTCCCATTCATGGTGCTATATTCCTTTGTATATATTTTTTTCTTTCTGGTATGTACCTGTGAACTATCACTGAGTCCCTGCAGAGTGTTTGCTTCTGCCAGTACCTGGCTGCTCTGATTTGGAACTATTTTAAAAATTCAATCTTCTTGGGGCGCCTGGGTGGCTCAGTCATTAAGCGTCTGCCTTTGGCTCAGGTCACCATCCCAGGGTCCTGGGATCAAGCCCCACATCAGGCTCCCTGCTCCGTGGGGAGCCTGCTTCTCCCTCTCCCCCTGCTTGTGTTCCCTCTCGCTGTGTCTCTGTCAAATAAATGAATAAAATCTTAAAAAAATTAAATCTTCTTTCTAAAAAGATATTTTGCTTGAGTTTTCTGGGACCACCTAGGTAGTAAGATTTAGGGCTGCAAATCTTCACAAAGGCCTATTACTGCAGATTCTGAGAAAATATTCTCCTGCCACAGAGCACCAATGTTCAAGAGATGCAGACTCCTCCCTATACGTATTAGGGAGGGGCTTCTCTCACTTGACACCACTCTTCGGATGCATTCTGGGCTTCGCCGGGGTCACAAAAATTACAGTTCACTTGGTTTTTCAAGTGTTTTTGAGGTGAAAGTTGGGTTTCTGGTTATATTCTGCTTTCTTTTTGGGCTCCTGGCTTCAATTTGTTTTTGGCTTGTGAGTACTCCTTTCTTGACTGATTATAGACACATTAAAAAAAATTGTTTTTCCCAGGATCTTTTTTTTTTTTTTAAAGCCGAATGCAGACGCTTAACAACTGAGCCACCCAGGCGCCCCTTTCCCAGGATCTTTAGTTGCTTTTTTACAGGGGAGTTGGTCAGCATAATCGTCCATACTAATGGAAAGTGAACTGTCCATCTATTGATTGTGATGCTATTTTTCTTACAGTAGTCAGAGAGTAAAGAAGGTTCCATTCATTACATCAGTCCCCCTTATCTGTGGAGGGTATGTTTCAAGACCTCCAGTGAATGCCTCAAACTGCTGAAAGTATTAAACCCTCTATATACCATGTATTTTCCTATACATACATACCTATGATAAAGTATATTGTTATAACTGTATAAGAAAAGTTACGTGAATGTGGTCTCTCAAAATATCTTACAGTACTGTGCTCACCCTTCTTGTGATAGAAGAGGATAAAATGCCTGCGTGATGGGATTAACTGAGGTAAATGTGACATACTTAGGCTACTATTGACCTCCTGACGATGTAACAGGATGATCTGCTTCTGGACCACAGTTGACGAGGAACTAAGACTGTGGGTAAGGAAGAACTACTTTTCTATAGTATATTGTAGTTTTTTTTTTTTTTTTTACTTTTGGCGTTAAAAATATAGCAAGAAATATTTTTGGTAAAGTCCACCGTTTAGACTTTAAATATTTGGCCACCTAACAATGTGCCTGGCAGTCATCACTAGATTGAGGAATATAGCAGAACAAAAACAGACAAAATCTCTAACAGAGCTTACATTCTGGGATAGGGTTGAAGAAACAATAAATATTACATGCAAGTTGTATAATATTGAATAGGCCATGGCACACTCTACAATGGCAGGGCTGTTGGTATTTCATGAGGAATAGTTGAGAAAAACCACTCTAAAGTTTGACATGTGAACACTTATAGAGAAGAGGGAGCCGTATGGCATCTGAGGTAATTCTAGGCAAAGAGAAGAACAAGGCAGACATCTTAAGATGAAAGTCCTGCATGTTCAAGTCTCACCAGAGGCCTGTGTGACCGAGCTGAGGGAGCTGGGGAGTGGTGGAGCAGAATATGCTGAAGCAGCAGAGGTGGTGGGAAAAGTCATTACAGCTTATAGTTCACCTTAGTAATTCCGGTTTTACTCTGAATGAGATGGAAAACGGTTAGGTTTGCAGTGAGGACACGTCATGTGGCTTAAAAGGATTATTCTGGGTGTTGTGTGTGGGACAGACTGCTGCAAAGTAAAAAGCAGGGAGGACCACTGAGGAGGCTATTGCAATAATCCAAAAGGTGATGGAGCATTATACCATGGTGGCAGCGGTAAATACAGGGAATAAGTAGATTGAGTAAAAATTAAAAGTAGAACTGAAAAAAAAAAAAAAAAACCTGAAAGGATTGCTGTTTAATTTGTGTGAGAAATCAAGGCTGATGCCTAGGCTTTGGGCCAGTGCAACTCAAAGGAATGTTTACATTTACTGAGGCCGAAAAGGGGTAGGGGTGTGTGTATCTGTGTAGAAATCAAGTAGGTTTTAAGGTAGCTTTTAGGTAGCCAGGTGGATAATGAGTAAGGAGCTATACAGTTTAGGAGAGATAGCTGGGAGGTCAGCAAATGACAATGGTTAACTATGTTCTCTTAAGCAACCAGGGCACGAAAACTCCAGTTGTTTGGTCTTGACACTATTCAAATTTAACATAGCAACAAGGTACTGAGTTATTTAAGAGGCTCACACAATAGTATGCACAATGAAAATGAGTTATTTCATAAAACCATTTTCAGTACAGGAAAACTGATGGCTCTTAAAATTTTTTAAATTTCATCCAGAAATAGTGCACAATTTGGATAACTGACAATGGGATCTTAACTAAAATTCCATGTAAAAGAGCAATTACTAGAAATAGTGTGCCAGAGTTAAAATTCATAAAAAAATTCTCCAAAATGCAAAGTATCAAATAGTTATAGGGTAGCAGGAAAGAATGCAAAATTCTCATTACTGGGGACCTAAAGAAAACAATCTTCCTAGCCTTTCTAGAAAAGTTCTTTTACACAGTCTTCCATAACTCTTGAGGGGTTGGGGGTGCAGGGGTGGTCATGCTTTTAAATCCTGTTTCCAAATACCTTTACAATTTATATTACGTTGGGGCTGTTGAAAGCTTTAATAGCTACTTTTGAGTATGTTCAATATATGCTAAATCCAGTGAACACTGCAAACACCCTAAACATGAATCCTTACCCTTTCACTAAACTCCCTCCCCCCAAAAAAAACCCAAAAAACTACTAAGCCATTTTAGGCCACAGAATGAGACCAGTGTTCAAATCCTTGCTCAGCTTTTCAACCAACACTTGGCCAACTTTTGTACCTGGTTACTCTTTAAATACTACTTGGCCATTGGTTGAATTATATATACACAAATAAAGCTAAATGTCATAAATTTGAAGGTCACTGGGTTAGACAAATTAATTGTAGGATGTTAATGTTAAGTAAATGTGTAAAACCACCTATACTTCAAAGTGCTATAAATTTGTCAGATATAAAGTGGAAATGTAGTATTTGGGCATCCAACAGTTCTCTTATCCCTATGAAACAGCAAGAGGTGTCAAAACACTAGCTATAGGGCTCAAGGACTGCTGCTGTGGGCTGTCAAGAGCTAGATTTCAGAATCACTTGGATGGCTTTTTAGAACAGAGCACTGGGTTTCTCAAATTTTCTCAATCAGTAGACCTGGAGTGTGGTCTGACAATTTCCATTTTAAAGAACTTCCCAAATGATACTGATTACTAGTCTTTGAACCACACTTTTGAGAACTAGTCTTAATTCTTTATAGACCACAGTTTTATAACTGCTATTTTAAGAGGTTCAAAATAGAACTCACACACAGTATTAAAGTGTGGATTTCATGTCAGCTGGAATTACTGAGACCAAAGTGTCTTTAAACACAGACTTTAATGGTAACAATTCCTTTAAGCTCAATTAACCTTAGCTATTACAAGTGTTAAGCAGATGTCACTATTAAGACAATATTCAGTGACTTGTACTGGTTTCCTCATAAAATAGAAGACAAATTCACTTAAAAGTGTAATCAACAATCATTTAACAGTTTTGTTATGCCAACACAAAACATGGCTAATTTGAGTTACCTCCAAAATCACTAACACAGCATGATCAGTAACTGAAGCATATTTTAACTAAGCCATTAAAAAAAAAAAAAGTGAGTGTTTCACTACCCCTGAGACCACTAGTTAACTGTGGTTCATACTTTTAAAAATTGTGAGTACACCCACACAAGAAAGCAAACAAGCTTTTTAAAAAATCTGGTATCACATTGCAAACTTGCCCAGGAAAAAGGAGTCACTTAAAATATAATTTACCATTAACAGGTCACATGGACTATACTTCTCAAAGATTGAGAAACTCAGTATTAAAAATTTGAGTTTATGCATGAAAAGATCTAGGAAATATGTAAGAACCAAAATCAATTTTTAATCTAATATGCATCCAGTCCTACACACGGCACTAGTAATGTATATGGGGGAAAAGGGCAAATTCTTGGATTCTTTTGAAGGTTTCATTGGAGATGATCTCAAGTCCGGTGTCCATACATTCAAAAATGTTGGTTTTCCAGGTACTTTACTGTTCTCTTAAACCTGGAGAAGCCATTATGGCTTATTCCCTTAGAAGTGACGTAAGAAATGTTGTAGAAAGCATCAGATACAGAGAACTGGACACATCTAGTAATTATTATGACAATCAATGGTTTTAAGTCATCTCTATGAATACGTAAGGTTGTCTAAGGCTAAAAAAAAAAATCAACTTGAAAGTCATTTAGGAATTCAGAAGCTCTGACAAACTGTTTATTCACAGCTGGCTTTCAGTGATATGCCTACTAAAGCTATTACTTTGAGAGTATAGAATCAGAAGTAATTATTTTGAAAACAGAGCAAAAGAACAGTATTTCTTACCTTATGGAGCAGTAGGCTACTAATTTTTCATTTGCAATTTGAATCCAAAAGAGCTTTAACAGTATGACATCTACTTTTAAGGAGTAATTTTTTAAGTAAAAGATGAAATGAAAAAAATTCACTCGTTGGAAAATTGTATAGCTGGGTTATTTCTCAATGAAATGCTTAAATTACAGAATTAACAAAGTCAGAACATCTTCGGAAGGCATGCATTTCACTTGCAGTTTAGAGAAAAACCTTAAGTCAATAAACCATGTCCAAACTACGTATTAAAATGTTTATAAAAAAATCAAGCTTTAACATTTATTTTATATCTAGCTTTCCACATCTGTGTGCAGACAAGGAGTAAGATTGCACATAAATGTAAGCAGTGCAAAAATGTGGAAGTGGAGAAAAGTCACAGATGTGCTAGAAATCAAATACAAGATTTTAAGAAAGCAATGGACAAATCAAAATAACTAGGAAAAAAATGAAACTATAGGGTCAGGATTAGGAAGGGTGAAGAATGATAATGCCCTTGTTACTACAGAAGTTAGTGGCACAGATAGCACTTGTCAAACAAAAAATAATCCAATAGCATTGACTTTTATTCATTCATGTTAAGTCACCTGAAATGATATTTGTAGCATTTAAATGCTCATTAATGTAAATGGCTGAACAAATCCATTTCAATGGATATTCAATATCCCACATAGTTAAGTCACTTCAACACAGCCTCATGACAACTCCCACACCAAAACAGTACTTTATTTTGTAAATTTTGACCCATTATTACTCCCATGTTATGGTTTTTTCAGCTGTCAAGTGTACAAGGTGAAGAAAAAAATTTAGTTAGATGGGGGTTGCACCTGGAAAATAAACTTCAACTCCATATACATGTTTCAAAACTGCTGGGTCCCAAGTCCATCTATGAACTCCAGGGCTGCCAGGATCACGTGCAGCATACTAAAGCTACACTATCCGAATAGCTTATTAATTCTGCATAAATCAGGTCAATCAATGTGTCAACCTGTAACAGACTGTGCACTTTTAACTGAACATGGCAAAATATTCACTCTTTTGAACTTTACATCATCATTTGATGTCAAACAATGAAGCAAATCCCAACAGTATATACAAAAACAGCTTTGCATTTACAAAAGATTGTTTCCCATACTGATTAATTCAGGCAGCTAACTCATTGGTTTATGCAACTTTATTGAAGAAAAATAAATCAATTACTAGCAGAGCTATTAGTTGATCACTCATCCATTGACAACTTGCATCATTTATTCAGTGCTATATTAAACAGTGTATTGGAAGATAGATTAACTAATAGCTCCAAGCCTCCTAACAATTTAAATGAGAATTACAAAATGTTTGAGACCCTATTTTGGAATACAAAGGGTGTTTGACTTCCAATTTCCATTCTCTGTAGAACAAGAACAGGTCATTCCTTTATTGACATGCATAAAATACATCACATTTTCTGTTCTGCTGATGCTATAAATTCAATACCAATTCTCCAGCCACATCAGTTATGAGCATAAAGTATATCATGTAACCTCAAATCTCTAACAGTGGAAGGCTTAAAAAAAGACTGGATGCTAGAATAATGCTGCTTCCTTTGATGTGACAACTGAGCATCCATCTCCCTCCCCCTCAGATGATTTCTTCAGCATGTTAGAGCAGTGAGGAATGGTTTTAGTCTCATAACCAAGTTAGAGTGAAGACATTGGCCACATAATACACATGCTCCATTTTTAAAAAAATTCTGAATCTTGGGCAACTGTTCTCTTGTAACTACTTTACAGTTTCTAAAAGCAGTTATTGTCCAAAGCTGGAAGAACTTAAGTCTTCTCAGATGAGCATGTGAATGAATGGAGGGAGGTAAACAAAAAATAAAATTAA